CAGCAGCCGGCGGCGCGGCAGGCTGCCCAGCCGGCGGGCTCAGTGCAGCCCGAGGCCAGGGGCAGGACGCAGGGACCCCCATCATCCCGACCACCGCAGCAGCAGCCGGGGCCAGCCCAGGCGGCGGGGAAGGCACCAGCCACGACCCACACGCAGCCGGGTGGGCACCCAGCGCCGGCGGTAAGTACGGGCTCAGCTGCCTTGGCTGCCTCCTGACTCCACGGCTCTGCCGGGGACCAGCCTGTCTGGCCACGGCCAGGGGCTGGCAGGGGAAGGGTTGGGGATGGGAGCCACGGGCCAAGCTGTATCCCACCCATGTGCCTACTACGGCTGCCGTTGGGTGCCATGGGAGTAGCCATCCCCTCAAGGGGACCCAGGAGAGGACATCCCTGTGCCCTGGATTCCTTCCTGCCTATTTTGGGGCTGTGGAGCAGTGTTTGGGGATTTCGGTGTTGCCTCCTGGCCTGGGCCACCCCCAGAGGATGCTCTGCCAGGAGGGCGAGCCCTGAGAGAGCTGTTTTCCCCGTTCCAGCCAAAAGCGGAGCAGACAGATGCATCCAAACCTGCAGCGAAAGTGCCACAGCAGCCAGGGAGAGTGCCTGCAGCGCAGCCCCTGGGAGCAGCAGGTCAGTGGGCCCAGCAGCACGGTGCCGTCCCACCCCTCGCCTGCTGCCTGACACCCTGGGGGCTCGGCCAAGCTCCCCCGGCCGGGCCCGTCCCCTGCTAACGGTGGCTTCATTTGTCCCCCAGCAGACAGCAAGGCCGGTCCAAGGGCAGCCGGGCCACGTGGTCCTGCCGGCACAGCCACGGGGCAGCCCGGGGGGGAAGGAGAGAGCGTTTTCTCCAAAATCCTGCCGGGGGGGGCAGCAGAACAAGCTGGCAAACTGACTGAAGGTGAGGGCTGCTCCCAGGGAGGGGGACAGGGTGGTGATGCTCTTCTGCACCGAGATGGGTCGGGCGCCATGGGGGTGGCGGGGTGCAGCCGGCGGGATGCGGTGATCCCACCGTTTGGGGCCCAGGGAGGGGCCAGGGCAGCTGCACCGTGCTGACGCCTCTCCCGGCTTCCCCGCAGCGGTGTCGGCTTTTGGCAAGAAGTTCACTTCGTTCTGGTGAGAGAACGGCACAAGGTGAGTGCAGCCGGCTCCGGGTGCTGTGCCGCGGGCTCTCACTGCCCCGGCTGTCCCTGACGCCCTCCCGCTCGCTCCTGTCACAGGAGTTTGGGAAACGAGTGGAGATTGAGTCGTTGCAGTGGAAAAACCTATGAAGAAGCCAGTGAATTCAGCACGCGGCGCCAGACTCTGAGTATAACGGTGAGTATCTGGGGCACAGCCACATACCGGTCCCCTCCATCATGGCATCTCCGGGGCTCCCATGGCACTGCTGTCCCCCTCGGCACCCGCTGAGCCCTGCCCTGCCACACTCCCTCCCCCAGGGTGAGAAGGACACAGTGCAGTCCCGTCCCCTTCCCACTGGCCCACTCGTCCCCGTCTTCATCCCCAAGCGCCGGCCCCAAGCCAAGGTGTGGGGGCTTGGCCTCGTTCCCCGATCTCGGCAGCGCCGCGTGGGCCGATGCCCTGCGGATGCTGGTGCAGACCCTGGGTTTGCGGGGAAGGTTTGGGCTGCCTGAGCTCTGCTCCGGGAGTCCGTCCAGCGCGGGGGCGGCAGCAGCTGCTCTGCCGGCAGCGCCTCTTGGCTCGCCACTGCCCATTTGCTCAGGCCGGCACTGCCGCTCGGCAGGGTCCCGTCCGCGGGGACGTCGCCGCTCGGGCTAACACGTCTCTCTCTGTCTCTCGCAAGCTTTTGAAAGCAGGGCGATCCCTGGATGCTGGACCAAACGGCGGCCGAGCGGGGGCCCGGCGGACACCCCGGGGCGGACGCCCCCCACGCCTGGCGAGCAGCTCCGGCGCGGCACACGGCGAGCCCGGGCAGCCGCCCCGAGGGGACGGGCCTGATCCGGACCGTCGGGTCAGGCCCCGTAGGTGGGCCGCGGCCCTTTCTCAAGATTATACGCAGAGTTGCTCCCTCCAAACCCCAGCTCTGGCCTCTTCATAGGTTTTTCCCCCTCCACGAGCCGAGGGCTGGGTGCCGCAGGCGCCGCTCCTCCTTCCCGACCCCGTCTGCCCCGCCGGGGCCGTCCCCGCGCCCCCCGCACTGCAGCCCGCTCCCGGCCCCGCCAGGGAGCCCCCGGAGCGCGTCAGCTAGGACCTAACACTGTTTCACTACCGAAATACGAGGCCATAGGACTCTGACAGGCGGTGCGGCCGGCCTTTGCCGACGTGGCCGCCGGCTGGGCGCGCATCCTGGCGCGCGGCGTCGCCCCAAAGCCATTGGAAGCATTGAAAGGGCCGCGCTCGCCCTCGCCACACAGCCAGCGCGCCCGCCGCCGGGCACCCCTTTTCTTTCGAGAACAGCCTTAATCATCCCACTTTGATTTCTGTGTATACCTCATCCGCACTGGGGGGGGCAGTGGGCGTCGTCGGGGGGGGTCCTTTTTTCTCAGTTTCTTTGGGTTCACTTTATTTTGGTTTGGGGTTTGGTTTTTTTTCTAAACTTTATACCAAATCCTCTTCCCTCTTTGCTTTGTGCGATGAGTTAGCACACGGGCTGTCGTCTGTAGAAGCAATAGAGTGCAGGAGGCTACAAAAGAGCACAAATCCCGTGGAACAAGATCAGGAGAGCTTTGCCTCCGGCAGTATCCTTCCTCTTACTGTGCAATCCAAGTCCTTCTCAAGCCATTTCGCGGGGACACGGGGACGGCCGGCGCAGCGGCCGGCGGCCAAAGCCCGCTCGCCCTGCCAGGAGGGGGTTCCCCGGGAGGGGGGGAGGCAGCCCGAGGAGGGGGCTCGCCAGCGTACAGCCGCGCGCCACCCGCGCCCCACCGCCTCCCCGCGCCGGCGGCACCCCCCCCGGTGCCCCCCGCAGCGGGTGGCAGCCGCCCGCTCACCCGCCTGATGTTCTATGCAACGAAATAACACGACTCCAGAACAAGACCTGTGAATAGCTAATCAGTTCAATGTCGCGCCTAAGGGTTTCATCGCAAAGCGTGCCGCCGAGCGACCCGATAACTACTCTTTATCGACCACCCGTGCGTATGAATTCGTGGCATGTTCGACCCACGGAGGGCCACTTTGCCAAAGGGCAGCCCTAGCGCCCGTGACCGTCTGTCCCGTCGTAGAGCATGGCTTGCTACTTCTCTGCACGGTTCCACCCGCCTTTCGGTGCTTGCTGTTCTTTGCCTGGACTTTTCTTTTTTTCTTTTCCATCAGTCCATCACTGTACTGAAAGCTCTTAGCAGATTTATGCACTTGTTATCGAGGACCCGGTCGCCGTGGGAAGCCCACGCTCTGTGGCAGGTCCCTCGCAGGGGGCTTTGCCTGTGCCCAAGGCTGGGGGAGAGGCCGGCGGCTGGGGGATGGGGGGGGGGAGCGCGGCGTTCCCGTGCGGCAGCCCCACGGAGGAGACCCCTGGCCCCGCGCACACCCGCCACCTCTCCCCGCCGATGACAAGTGCATAGCCTGAGGGTGCCTCCTCCGGGCCTCCGGCCCCCGCCGCTCCTCGCGCTGTAAATACTTGTACAGTGTGTCAATCGCACGCGGGACCGAGACCCCCGCCGGGGCCCGTCTCGCCGCCCGAGCGCATCCGCCACCTCGCCTCTCTGCCCGCCCGGACCGGAGGCCTGTAGCCCACCCTGCCGGGCCAGGCCTCCAGCCCAAAATCGTGGCAGTCTGCCGGCCGGGGCTGGGGGGACGGAGGGGGCTGTAAAGACGAGGCGTCGAGGGTGGCCGAGCCCCGGGCACCGTTTGCGGCAGTAAGTGCGACGCCGGGTGCGCTCCCTCTGAACATTGTGACGGTGTGCGTGTCTGCTGTGCTCTGTGCCACCCGTAGTGACCCCGTACCGTGCCGTACCGTGCCGTACCGTGCCGTACCGCCCCCGCCACTGTGTCGTGACTCCCTCCCAGAAGCTGCCCCCTCACCAGGTGTTTCTGTGGGAACAGAATAAAAAAGGACTTGACACAAACCACAGACTGGCCCCGATTCCTGCCTGCTTGCGG